TCCTCTAGCAGTTTTAGTCCCGCTGCAAATGAGAGCTGATGGCATTTGGGCTTGACAATTACCCAATCTCTTGGTTTAACTTTTGTTTATTTCCACATTTCCTGCTCCTGCTCCAATGGCACTGTATGCGCACACACATGCACGTGTATACTGAGTTCCCTGGCTGGGATTTGGTGCTCCTCAACCAAACGTAGGCAGAATTTAAACCAGGAACATGACTCAGGACTGTGGCTGCAGACTGAGCCCAGAGAAAGTCCTTAGAAACACTGGGAATCAGGCTGTTTGCCTTGGATCCTCTCCTAATTCCTAGCTAGCCTCTCTGGCCTCAGTTTCCTGAACAACAAAATGGGAATAACCATGCCTATTCTGGCCTATTTCACAGCATCATGCTGGGATCGAATGAGACAATGTATGTGACGGTCATTTTCCTTCAGACAGTGATGGGACAGGCTAGACAGGCAGCCAGACTGCAAAACTAGGTTCAGCCACTAGAATGGGTAGGCATCCTGATTGCATCAGAAGTTAAAAGCGATCTATACTCAATTTCAGTTTATGTTGTCCCTCAGCCTGATATCCTTCTACCTTTGCTAAACTCCTATGCATTTTTAAGAACCCAATTCAAATAACATTTCTTTTTTGTTAGTGTCTTCAGAATTAACAATTCCATCTTTACTGCTCCTTTGGCCTTTTGTACATACCTCTAATAGCACTTTTCACTCAATTACAGTAGATATTAACTTATGTACCTGGAAGTTCTTTGAGGGCAAAGACTGTGTATTTTTCATCCTTGTATCCACCTCCCCACCCACTTCCACTGTATGGCCAACACTGGTGCATGACAGGTGTCAACCAATGTTTATGGAATGCGCAAGAACTCAAAAGTCAAGAAGGAGGTAAATGTCAGAGAGATCCAGGAGAGCATAAAAGGTGGGACAGCACACAAACAGTCAGTGGCGGGGACGGCGGGCAAGAAATCCAAGAAGGTAGTGTCACTGAGGTCAGTCCTAGGCAATAAGGGCACAGGCACAGGGATGACAGTCAAAGCTGAACTGCAAGTTCTGGGAAGACCAGACAGGGATTTCATCTTGGAAACACAAAGAATTGAACAGGGAGCAGGAGCATTCTATTGAGGTCCAGATAATAAGGAACGGCGGCATCATACCAAGTCCTGCAACCTAAACTGGAATAGGAGGGCTTGGGGACAAGAAACAAGGGCAGAGAATAGAGCCAGGGCAAAGAATCGAGCAAGGCTGAAGTGGTACTGAAGAAGCCTGGGAACTTATAGGTTAGTTAACATTCTCAGGAGTGCCAAAGTTGAGTTAGCAGCTAGGGATTAGAGACCTTAGCTATGAAACTGGCTTGGAAAGCAGAGAGCTGCTGGGGTATACATCTGCAGTCAAGGAGCAAACAAACCTGTTCACACACATACTGCCCTGTCATGTGCATGGTGGGATTAATCCAGATCACTGTACTACCCACTCTGGAATTTTCCAGGAGTGCCTAGAGAGGCCCAATATCTAAGGTAAAACTGACAGCGAATGAAACAGAAGTTTTTACCACTGTGAGAACATTAAAGGAAGGCCTGCAAGGTCTAAAATCTCAAATAAAGTGTTTCTCCAGCTAGAGAGGAGACATGGCTCAGAAGAAAAGAATTGAGACACTTAGGGAATTTACAGACCCTTATTCCCAGACTTCAAGCACCCAGCAAAGGGATCCACCCAGGAAAGGGCACATAGAAAAAAGGACCTCAATTTTAGTTTATCTGTAGAGTATGTGACCTTCTTCAAGCACTTCAAGTTAAAGACCCAGGCTCACTGTTTACCTATTGTGTGATCAGTAGGGGCCAGCTGAGTTTACCCATTCCTAGCCTTAGTCTCCTTATTCATAATGCAGCAATTGTGACACCTGCACATAGGTTTATCATGAAGACAAAATAATATCTGCAAAGCATTTAGCATATTGGCCTATAATAAGCACTAACTAACTTTGTGTTTCTTTGCTTTCTTTGGTTCCCAGGAAGGGATGGTTATACCACAGTCTAGCTGTCTACCTGTGTTTTCCTCTCCTGTTTGGCTGTCCTTCTGGACCCTTCTGTGCAGACATCCTATCTGAGACACCAGACAATTCACTCCTCCTCTTGCTTATCCCTTGGACATTAAAGGCAATTAAGAAGAATTAAAGGCAATTGGTCAGCTATGTGCCACACGCAGGTCCTCAAGGGTCAGGAAACATCAGCCTAGTCCAACACTGTTCCTGTGCCTCCAGGTGTCTCTGCACCTCTCTGGCCAAGCCCATGACCAGGGTAGCACCTAGTTTAGTGTGGCTCTTGTCTTCTCCAAGGTGAACCCACTCCTAGTAGCATATACCTGCCTCCTGGACTGGCTCTCTCTTGGCCTCGAGCAAATATATGCCTAGCAGGCGAGACCTGGATATCCAGGTGAACCCACTCCTAGTAGCATATGGCTGCCTCCTGGACTGGCTCTCTCTTGGCCTCGAGCAAATATATGCCTAGCAGGCCAGACCTGGATATCCACAGCTGGAGATAATTCCCAGACCCAATTTACCAGAGAGTAAGAGCCTGGAGTCTGAACCTGAAGTGAGACCGAAGAGTCTACACTCCAGCACCCCAGAGACTGGAGCTAGGAAAGAAGGAGCTCTAAAATGAAGCTGCTAGGGGGCTCAGGGCTCAAGCCTACTCCTGATAAGCTACATAAAATTTGTATCAATGTCAGGCTCTTACCCTAAATTTTGCACTGGCCATGTCTATCACAGTGCTGCATACTGTGGCTACCACAAGGCATTAAAAAACTTCAAAGGGTAAGAAGAGAATGGACTCAACAGTTTCTGAGTGCCTACTAAGTCATGAACTTTGCAAGTTATCCTTACCAATACCAATACCTTAGGTATTATGACACAGGGTATACTCATCTTTCCAATAGAACTAGAGACTCGGAAAAATCTAAGAATCCTCTATTCCTCCACTACTGTGCAACCTGACCACAAAGTCTTAAATGATCTGGGAAAGACAAAGAAAAACTAGAGTCTAAAGCACTATTTAACAGGCTCTCAGCACCTTAACTCACTAAGGAGACAATACTAGTTTAAATACTGCATTGCCTTATTTACTACTGGTAGAGCCAACTTCTGCCAAACACAATCTGGAGAAATATATCAAAAGTCATAAAGATGCTCCTGACCTTTGCCCTTGTCATTGCATCCCTAAGATCATATCTTAAGGAAACAGTTCAACAGAGATTCACTGGTGGTGAAAAAAAAAAAGGATGATCTAAATGTCCAATATCTAAAGAATGGTTTGAGAAATCCCAGAACCTTCTAATCATGTAATGTTTACTGTATAGCCATTTTAAATGTTCATTTTAAAGACCAAGAGGGAAAAAAGCAAAGCATCTGTGATAAAATAAAGATTGAAAACAAAACATCATAAATGCTATTGGTACAACTTGTAGAGAAGTATGGACACGTGTATACACAAAAAGGAATGTAGCTGTTTTAGGGTGGTAAGATCATGGAAATCTTCCATAATACTAAGTGGTTTCATTATTATTACATGTAAAATTGTCTTTGTGGTATTGTTTAGTACCTTTTCAACCCAAGAGAAAGAGAGAGAAAAAAAGACAGACACATTTAACCCAGCACTAAGAAAAGGCCCAGGAAGACCAGGGCTGGGATGTGAAAGCAGAAACTGAGAAGCGTCCTACATACCCGGAAGGAGGAGGCCAGGCAGGGCCCTGGGGAAGGGAAGCCCTCTAGGTATGAAGAGGGTTGTCATTAGTCTGATGCTAATTACAGAAGTCTCACTAGCTTATTAATTTTTTTGACAGACTCTGAATGAAGACTGAATTCCTTCATTAAGCCAACTTGGGTTCAGAGGCACATTTCCTGTGTGGCCATCCTCATTCCTCTAAAAAATCTAGCCTTTTCTTTTTTTTAAGGGTAACAGTAAAGTAAAATTTAGTAACAGAAACACACACCCTGGAGAAATTAAGATTCCTGCCTTAAATGTAGAAATTCAAACCACTTCAGAAAATCAAAGGGGTTTGAATAAGCAACTGAACTGCAGTACCCTCTGGACTGGGAAAAATAAACACAAGTATAAAATATTTAGCTCAGTATTAAATGGCCCCTTGATCAGGTTCCAGCCCATCTTTCTGATATTACCTCATAATTGTCCCTCCAGATACCCAATGCTCCCGCCAAACTGAACCACCAAGTGGTCCCCAAAATAGTTTCCTCCCTTTCCTACCCCCATGACTCTGTTCAAGCTGTTGTGCACACTTAAAATTTCTGTCTTACAACTGCTTGCTCAAGTCTGACCCATCCTCTAAAGCACAGATGAAAGCATCAAAGCCTTGTCATTGTCCTGGGTTTTTCTTGGTTTTTTTTGGTTTTTTTTTTTGAGACAGAGTCTTGCTCTGTTGCCCAGGCTGGAGTGCAATGGCGCGATCTCAGCTCACTGCAACCTCCGCCTCCCAGGTTCAAGCAACTCTCCTGCCTCAGCCTCCCAAGTAGCTGGGACTACAGGCGTGTGCCACCATGCCCAGCTAATTTTTGTATTTTTAGTAGAGATGGGGTTTTACCATGTTAGCCAGCCTAGTCTCGAATTCCTGACATCAGGCAGTTCACCCGCCTTGGCCTCTCAAAGTGCTGGGATTACAGGCGTGAGCCACTGTGCCTGGCCAGCCTTGTCATTTTCAAAGCCTAGGCCAATCCCTGTACCCTGAATTCATTTCTTGCTCTTCATAGTAGATCCAAAGTACTTTGAACCTCCAAGGAACTACACAAAGTCTGCCTTGCAGTACAGTTATCTGGGTAACTGGCTTTTGACCACATTAAAGCACGAGCTCCTTGGAGCAAGGATCTCTTCAGATTCCTACATGGAACCTATCCATAATGCCTGGCCCACAGTAGGCCCTCAGTAAATGCTTCACTGAAAGACAAGAAAAAGGGACACATTACATCTGTGTGAAGTCACTTCCTACCTCAGTTGCTCCAGTTAAGCAATGCAGAGATGAAGGCATGCTGTTCAGTAGTCTTGAACAGGGGAGGAATGAATCTTGCTTTTCTAGTTTCCAGCCTTCGTAAGTCTCCAACTTCCTCCCTAGTTGACCATAGTCTGCTCGGCCCCAGGTAAACACCTTGCCAGTTTCTAAAAACAAACATTATTTGAATTAAGACTACATTCCACAGCTGTGCTCCCATGGGTAGGCAATGAATTACAAGAGAAAGTGTGACACTGATTTTAGTACCAACTACCAGGAGCCTTCCTATCTTCCTGTAAAGAAGGCACACGCACTCATATTTTTACAGATGTGGAAATGAAGGTTCAGAGAGGTTAAATGACTTGCCCAAGATCAAACAAGCTGTAAGTACCAGAGCTGGATTCAAGCAGATTCATTCTAAAGTTTCTGCTCTTGCATGTTATATCGATATGGATATGACTATGGATATAACTTCAATCATGCTTTATGGCCTTCCATTCCCTCCCTTCCCCACACACTCCTTGTGCTTTGCCCAGATGCCTGCTCTCAGGCTCTCCTCTTCCCCACCCAACCCAGGGCCCATTTAGCTACCTTGAAGTTCTCCACTCCACAATCTCTTAGGGCCTAGCTCAACGAATGGCCAGTTTCATTTGCTTTCCCCTCCTTATAACATAAGGGGACCTTTCGGAATCTATGCTCTTACCAAAGAAGCAAAGATTCTAACAATCCTAAGGTAAGTGTTTATGTGTGCTAGAGGGAAGGGAGTGAGAGAAGAAAAAAAAAATGGCAAAACCATTTGGAGCCAGAAAAGCATTTAGTCCCCCAGATGCACCACATGGGAAGCGGGCCAGTGCTAAAAATGACAAAAGAAAACGAGATTTGCAAAAGGAGAAATGGACTTTCTTCTCCCAGATAAGAGAAAATTCACCAAATTCATTCAGTTGTACCAAGTGCCACATTTGTTATTTCAACACAAATGCAAAATCTGATGAGGCATAGATTATTAACAGATTCTCTGCAATAAATATGCATAACCATGTGCGTTGTATGAATTCTTTATACATGTTTATTTTAACAAAGAAAAACTTTGCTTTAGAGACAAAACACAGAGCAATGCATATTAAATTCTAGACAAATCTACTACTGCATACTTTGTGTTTGGTATCAAAGCTTCATCTGGCCCCACATTCAACATATGGTTTATAGTGTCAGCTAAAAAACAACCATAGATTCATGGGGAAATGTCAGAATATTGCAGTGATACAAGGTTCTGCAGGGAAACAGTTCTCAGCATCAGCCTGCTAGCAGACACTAAGGTAGATACCAACAGTTTACAGGAATCTGACTTTTGGGCTTCCTCAAAGAGGAAACAAAGTCTGTGTAGCTCACAGGGTATATGGGATACCTTGTATATTATGAGAGCTGGGAGTAGGTCCATTCACATGTACTACTTCATGGCTCTTTGTGTGCTGTTCCTTTTGCTAAGAATGCCCTCTCCTTAACTGGTAAACTATGGCTGCACCTTTGGAGTCCAGCTCATGTACCACTAGTTCTATGAAACCTTTCTTGAATCCCCAGCTCTCCCCAGCAAGGGTGAAAGTCACCCTCCCGTGAGCCACCTTTATCACTGTACTCATCAACTACTATGCTGTCACTTGACAGGTGAAAAAATTAAGGTTCAGATAAGTGACCTGCCCAGGGTCACACAGCTAAGCCACATCTCTTTCTACTAGCCCATGGTATCACTCTGCATTGGTTATTAAGCCCTAGTCACTGCATAATCACTCAACACTCTTCCTTCACTTCTGCAAGATTACTCTTGAAAACCCATGTGCCCAGGACCCATAAGGCATCCAAAACTGGCAAATTGTCCCTCTACCGGAGCTGGCTAGGATTTCTAACCAGATTGCTAAGCAGGAGATTCCCAAGAAGCCAGGGGATGAGACTGTTGCTGCTTAAATGACTATAGCATTCCTCTGCTGGGAAAAACTAGGAAGTTGTTGTCTCTAAGACTACAGAAATAATTTTATCAGAAATCACATATTGAATCCTTTCTTTCACATGAAGTAAAACATCTTAGAGCTTTTCTGTTATTAATTATTGATGTCAAAGACAGTCAAGACTGGTAGAATATGGTGCCACCATTATTATATCCCCGATAGCAATTCAGCCATTCCACTTACATAGCACTTTTCACCTTCAAAGCACTTTACAAAGATTAACTAATTAATCCTCATACTCTCTGGGGAGGCCATAGACATTCTGGTTAAGATAAGTCCAGAAACCAGGCTGACTTAATGTTCAGTCTTCAGTCTCAAGCCTAAATTTAATGCACTCTGAACTTGTCTGTTTCTCCTCAAAATAAACTCTGCATCAGAAGCCTCACCCAGGATAGAAGAGACCCTTTTATTTTTCCTTTTCTTTTAAACAGACATTTATTGACCTCTTCCCAGGTACCCAGTACATTCATTGACATTGTCTCAATCCTCACAATAATGCTGTGGCATACAGAGTATTAAGCTTATTGTACAGATGAGGTTAAATGATGAGAGTTAAATGATTTGGTTGGGTTCAAACAACAACCAAGTAGTTGAATCAAGATTTAAACGTGTGTCTTCTGACTCCAGGGCCAATGGTATCTCCAATGATTGCACAGCTGCTGTCACAGACTGACAAAATTTGGCTGATGAAACAGCCATTTTTACAATGTTTGAGGAAGAGGAAAACCCAGATTAAATGGATATGCTCTGTGTACCATCCAGCTTTCCTCACTAGAATAATCTTCTTCCCAGGAGCCCATGCAGAAATCAGGACTGTAAGTGCTGAAATAAAGGCATTAAACACATGGATGATGATTTTATGTCATCTGGAGTAAAATAAATCCACATATAAAAAATGCTCATTAATACATTGTAGATGAATGTCTGCATCAAGCTGATGCATGCTGTCAAATCCAGGGAGACTCGATCACAAATTTAACAAATGAATCTTTTCCTTAAAGGATTATATATTACCATGATAAAAAAATAGATACACTAATGTCATCCAAAAAGTATAGGTATGTGTCTCCAGGTAAATGATAAATTAGAGAGATGACAAAATAGCTCAAAACAAAGTCAGCAAGTGACACACAATTTATAAGGCAGGTCCATGTAAGAATTAGCACAGAATAACTACAGAGCCAAGAAGTATACCCTGCAAAAAATATCAACGCACCACAGAAAACGACAGAGGCCAAATGAGAAGTATGGAGAAAGAACACTTAAGGGGTCTGGAACTGGAATTGTCCTGGCAGGCTTGAGGGAACAAGAGGCATTTAAGGTGAACTTCTGGATAAGAAAAGAAAATGGGAGACCGAGGGAGGATATTGAGGAACAGTGTGAGATGAGCAATGATATGAAAATCAAAAGGTGGCCAGGCGCAGTGGCTCACACCCGTAATCCTAGCACGTTGGGAGGCCAAGGCGGGAGGATCACCTGAGGTCAAGAGTTTGAGATCAGCTTGGCCAACATGGTAAAACCCCATCTCTACTAAAAATACAAAAATTAGCTGTATGTGGTGGTGCACGACTGTAGTCCCAGCTACTGGGGAAGGTGAGGTGGCAGAATCACTTGAACCTGGGAGGCAGAGGTTGCAGTGAGCCAAGATGGCAGCATTGCACTCCAGCCTGGGCAACGGGGGAGACTGTCTCAAAAAAAAAAAAAAAAATCAAAAGGCAGGAGAGTGAATGAGGGTCACTAGGGAAGGAGACTGGGAGGGGAGTCAAGACTGCCAGGCTGGGGCCAGCCACAGGGAATTGCCATGGCTGGGTCTGGATCTCACCCTCCAGACCAAGGGTCCCTAAACTTGGTTGCTTACTATTAGTAAAAGAAAAAAAAAAATTTTTTTTTTGAGACAGAGTCTTGCTACATCATCCAGGCTAGAGTACAGTGGCATGATCTTGGCCCACTGTAACCTCCACCTCCTGGGTTCAAGCAATTCTCCCGCCTCAGCCTCCTTAGTAGCTGGGATTACAGTCATGCACCACCACATCTGGCCAATTTTTGTATTTGTAGTACAGACAGGGTTTCGCCACGTTGGCCAGGCTGGACTTGAACTCCTGACCTCAAGTGATCTGCCTGCCTTGGCCTCCCAAAACGCTGGGATTATAGGCGTGTGCCACTGCACCAGATGTCTATCAGCAAAATATTTTTTAACACATCACCAACATATGTACATTAATTTATTTATTAAAGTATGCACATTCTATGTACAGTATCCTGCTTATTCTTGCAACAAGCCTGTGAGTTAGGCACTTTTACCATCCCCATGTTACTCACAGGGAACAAGGTACTTACCCAAAGTCACAGAGGTAGTAAGTGATAAGGTAAAAAAAGAAAGAAACAACAACAATAACAGAAGCCTAGGATGCATCCAGGCCTAAACTAGAATTGAAGTCATAGGAAAACAAAAAAGAAAGAATTTACAGGGCTCGGCACCCCATTAGATGTGATTTTGAAAGGAAAGGAGAGGAAATAAACACCATTCTGAGATTTCACGATTTCAAGGTGAGTAGGAAGGTGATGAAGGTATAGAGATGCTACATCAAGGGTCCCGCTAATGGGAATCATAGAATGTTATTTAATTACCAAATTATTTAACTCTCCTGGGGTGTTTTGCAAACATGTTATCAAATAGTCAAATATAAATAAAAGGGGAGAGAGTAAGGAGAAAGACTACTAGATGCAAACCACAGAGAGCAGGGGATACTCTGCAGGTAGGGTGGGTGGATGATGAATATTCAAGAGGCCAACTTCCTTTACCATCCATCAAGGGCTGCAGGTGCTGCAGCCATAGCTATAGGTACAAGGAGAAGTAGCTCCAGGGATGTCTGAGCTCTTCAGGGAAGAGAAATTTCTACCCTGTTCTAGAGAAGGGAGTCCTATAGGTGATAGAAAGATAGATTAGAGGATCATCCGTATTTTCTTGACAGCATCTGTCCAAAAAGGGAATATAATGTCACTGAAGATAGCAAAATGGAGTCAGCAAACCAAGGTAGATGTTATAAAAAGAAAATCCATGGGTAAGAGAGAGAAAAGACCACATGACCTCTTCAGTCCCTCTCAACTCTAATATTCCAGGATGTTACAAGGCTATCTAGAATACACTCATGAAAAGGAGGAAGCTC